TTTTTTTTTTTTTTTTTTTTTTTTTTTTTTTTTTTTTGGCATAATGTTCTTTTAGTTGTAACATAATTTATTTTGACTTAATCCTATTTTTCTTTTTATTTTTGTTTACATTTATCACAATTATAGAAATTTATGTACATACAGATTTAATACAAAAGCAAATTACAACGGGATACTATGTACCTCAATCCAGAACCAAAAAAAAAAAAAAGAAACATAAAACTTCTCATACCGCTATATTTTTACGTGAAAGCAACAATTTTGTGTTAATTAATTTCTGTATTTTTTTTTCACATAATTTTTTTCCTAATAGTACCGTAATTAAGACATAAAGAAAACCGTACTACCCGGTTATACTTCTTTTATATAATATCCATAGCAACATGGTACATTTGAATAGAACAACATCAACAAGCAACGTTCCACAAGGAGCGTCGCAATCCCGAACTGGCAAAGCAAATGCCGTATCTAGGAAAGGAATTGAAACGCATGGAAAAAAAACATGCAGGTCCTTCTTCTCCAAAACAGCTGCTATGCTTTTTGTTGTTTCTGCTTACATCTTCCTAAAGGTGGGTCCATCAAAAAAATGAGTTAAAGGGTCATATAGATGTATGTGCACAGTGGAATGGTGTACGGTGGGCTATATATATACATATATATATGTGCTGCAAACACCTTACGCAGTGTTCGTAATATTTACACGTATATTATTTATTTGCTCCCTCTTTTTTCTTTACTTCCTGCTTGCTATTTCCTATATTACCATTCTGTTATTAACTCATATACACACCTATTCTTTCCTCTCTCTGCTCCCCCCCCCCTTGTGCAGCACCAGGATGACATTGGAACAAACAGCACGGCTGCTTCCACATTACAAGCAATGAACAATGTTGCTAGAAATTTAGCCGGGACAATAGAAGAAGCAGCTCCATCAGAAGAGGAACTTGAATTAGAACAGACGGAATTGCCACAAGGTGAAGATGCAGAAGAACCATTATATTCTGACCAACAGTTGGAGGAAAGAGAAAAAGAAGATGATTATGGACAGGAAGAAGAAGCTATTCCAGAAGAAAGGACACCAGAGGAGCAAGAGGAGCAAGAGGTACAAGAAGAAGTGCATTATGATGGAGAAGGAAACATAAAACACGATTCAAAGGAAGAAGACATCCATGAATCTATAGAATCGTTCGATATTCCTCAGGAACCAATCGTTCAGGCACAGAAAGAAGCTGCGCAGTACAAAACACAGTTTTTTAGGGGACAAACATATGTTCCTTCGGGAAAAACAAGAACCCCTGAGGGAGAAACAACTGAGGAATCAGATGACAAAGTAGTGTACACAAGACCTTACATGCTAAGTAGTGACATATCTCCTGTTATCCTCCAGACCCTAAAAACTTTTAGAGCGATATATGAGCTCGAGACACCGCAGATGGAGTACAGTAATTGGCAAAAACTTGTGTACAAACACGCAGGATACAGAAAAGAAGAATATGAAAACTTATTAAAACAACATAACACAAGACCATCAAAATATAATGAACAAGATCATACACATAAAAGGGATGAATTATTATCTGGGGATTCTAGACCATCAGACAGACATGAAGACTATAGCTCGATTGCATTCAACTACGAAATGTCCTGTTTCGATGAAAGATTGACGGATTCTGATATAGATGAAAAATTAGGACAAATTGAAGAAGAACCTCATAAATCGGAATTACTCTCCCTATACTGGCAATCATACAGAAATGAAAGACATAAATATGGTGACCTTAAAAAATCTCTGCTAAACACATTCTTACAATTGCAAAAAAAACAAAATGTTGCAACTATACAAATATATAACGACAAATGGAGTGAATGTGAAGACATATTTTATAATAACTTGACAAAACAGAATGAACATGTTAATAGTGTATTTCGTACCATGCTTGCAAAGGAAAAATTGAGCACATATGAATTCGAGGAGATTTTATATGACATTAGAGAATCATGGAAAGAAATGGCCCTTAAGACAACGAACGAATGTATAGCCTTTCTTAAAGAACCAATTTACTTAGAAGCCGTATACGTCAAGGAGGACCCGTATTATATGAGAAAAGGAATTTCAGGTTTTATTCCTGTGGGTCCCGCTCAATAAGGTTTAGGGTTCACAACATATTTTTTTCTACGAGAAAGCTTATCAACGAAGGAAAAAAAATGCAGCGCTTATTTTATATGAATTAATTTATTCTTTCTGATTAATTACAATATATTGCTTAATTCCTTTCGATTTCTAATATTTGTACAACCCACAATCGTACTTATAATTCCAATGTATACTTCATAATAATACATATATAGATGTGTTTTATACTTACAAGGCCTGTATATTTCCAATTTTACAATATTATGAACGCTTCGTACATTTCATGAAAATATCGTATGTGTCGCGTAGAACAATTAAGACGTTCATTTGTGAAAAATTGCACAAGCTTTTATAATGTACGCTATGATTTTTTTACGAGTACTACATTTTTCTTTTTTGCACCAATAAGACAATATAAATGAAAAAGTGAAAATAAAATAAAAATATTGGATCAATAAATCAGTAAATAATTATTTCTAAATAAAATTAATGAAACGCTTTTACATTATTTTTATAGCAATCTGTAAACAGGCCTATATATATATATTATGGTGAGAACAAAATGTGTGTCTATTCATGTTGCAAAACCGAGAATAAATATATTTTATAAACATATACATATAGAGGCATAATATTTCTTAAACCAAAGATAATTACACATAATTATTATATGATATAGAAAATAAGTGCAATTCATTTTAACATTTATATAAAGACTAAACGAATTTAAATAAATTATAATCTTTGTAAAAAAAAAAATATATCACACAAAAAAAAAAAAATTATTTAATTTTATTGGACAAAATCAATAACCCCGCTCATAATTATAATTTTAACCCCATTTGTAAGTATTAAAATATAATAATAAATATAGGTAAATATATATATATCACATTGAATAAACAACATAAAATAAATATATAATTACACAATTATTAAATAAATATAATTTTCTCATTTTCAGTGAACATAAAATTGATAACGCTGTTTTGTCACTTATGTTTATTATATATATTATATGACATATATTTATATGAACTTTTTTACAATGTATAAATAATAGAATACAATATACTGAATAAAAACGTGAACCCTAACCCTTTGAACATAGACCTAACGGGTGAAGGGGACTCCCCCTGTTCTAGCCTACAAAAAAAAAAAAAGCCCCTATTTTTTGTCTTCTTTTAATCCTTTTCTGATGCCATATTAAATATATAATTCTACTTCAAATTTTTTTTAAACCATTTTTTCTGTTCTAAAATAATATTAAGAGAAAACAATTTTATCAAAAAGTTGTATTTTCTCAATTTTATGAAAAATATTTTTTTATCACATTTTGCCTTTCAACTTTAGAACAGCCTTCTTAGCGAAAATATATAAATGTAGCAAAATTAACAAATTGTTACCCCTTCAATTATTGATTAAAAAAAATAAAAGAAAAAATCATCATATTCGAGAAATTCTTACAACCCATACCTTTTTTTTAAACGTTATTTTAATACAATATAACATTTTTGTAATAAATTGTTTTAAATGTTAACCAGAAGAAAAATCTCAAGCAATTTTTGCCTGCATAAAAAAAAATAGACCTTTTTTGAAGAACAAACCATATTTTATAAAAATATATAAAATAAATAAATCTTAACAAACTTTCTCGGCGCAAAGAAGAAAAAAAAAAATATAAAATCCTAATTTTTCGAAATAACCTAATATAAATAATATTATATACATGCTGTCTTTCTAGAAAAATATAGAAAAGAAAAGAATGCTTCCAAAATGCGCAAAATAATAATTATTTTAAATTGTTCTAAAAATGGGATGCAAAAAATACATAAACATATAAAACAATTCATTCAGAAGAATAAATTTTAGTTGCATAAAAAAATTCGGCTATTTTTTTTTGTTCTGCACGCTGAAGAATAATTATATTAGAAAAAATATTATTTATAAAATATGCGAACAAATTGTAGGGCACCTTTTTATAGTACTCAATTTTGTGAATTTTTTACCGCTTGTTTCATTTAATGACCTATGGATAAAGAAACAAAACAAAAACAACCACTTCTCCGTGTTTTTTTTTTTAAATTATATCCTTTCTCATTTTTGCGTGCCAAAAATGTGCGCGAAATAAAATTAGAATTATTTTTTTTGTATTTTTAAATTAATCCTTGCTTCGACAATTCGTACCCCCACTAGCCTTTTTCCATTCCTGTAAGTAAAAGCTTTATGTTCTAAATAAATAATGGAATACTTCTAAAAAAGAAAAAGAAAAACGCATCCCCCAAAAGTAATACATTTAACAATAATAAAAATATCTAAATTGATTCTCAAATTGGATAGAATAATATTAAAAAAGCCCTTTTCTCGTTTATATAAAAGAAGCGTTTTTTTTTTTTTTTTTTTTTTTTTTTTTTCTTTTATTGAAATATAAAAAAAATACATTAAAAACAAGTTATAAAAAAAGATACACTTAATTTGCAACTGAGATAATTTGACCTTTCCGCAAAAAATATACCCAAACCCCATAAAAATAAGAGAATTATTTACCCATTCTATTCTTTTTTATTATTTAATACACATAAAATTTGTCACCCAAGATGAAGCATATAACTGCCTTTTCAGGCTTGTGCACCCTCCTTTATATTTTCTCCTCCTCTTGGCTCTTCAACGGAGCAGCAGCTGTAAGATATATGATATAATATGCATTTTTAAAAAAAGAGCCAGAGAATATGAAAATGTGTACTAGAGCTTTAAAAAACATATATATGTTATACCTGTCCCTATATATAACACGTGTACGCTAAATTGTGCATCTATTGCATGTGCAGGTAGAATAATAAACGCCAAACTGTTCATTAATTCCATTTTTTTCTCTCTTGTTATCCTGTCACAGGGCAGCACAGAGCGATTCCCCCAACCTGTAGACTTCTCAAATCAAGGCGCGCTTGAAGTCAGGCCGCACAGCAACCAGTTAACGCAATATGAACCTAGAAATGCAGATGGAGGTCATATAAAAAAATGGATAGGAGAATTAAACGAAGAATTTAACCAATTTAAAGATATAAAATTTAAAGAAATTGAAAAAACAGAAAAACAAAAAGAAGAAGCATGGGATCATTGGCTATCATCCCTGGAATCAGAATGGGTTACTTTTAGCAACTTTATTGATGAAAAAAAAAAAAGATGGATTCAAAAAAAGCAAGATGATTGGACCACATGGATAAAGGATATGGAACACAAATGGATTAATTATAAAAAAAAAAAAGACAAAAGATATATGACCAAATATAGAGAGGGTACATTAGATTGCACTGAACGAGAATGGAATATAATGATGAAAAGAGAAGTTGAAGAACTTATGATCTCTGATTATAAAAAATGGATGAAAGATGCTGATGACAATTTACAAAAATGGATGTCCAAGGACATAGATATATGGAAAAAAAAAAAATTCAAAGAATGGTTACAGGTAGAATGGAAAAAAGAAGAAGATGCGTACTGGACAAACGATGCAAATACTCCTTATGGAAACACCTCGAATCCATTATTCCAAGTCATTAAAAAATCCTTCGATATGTACAATGCTAGGAAAAAAAGAGAACAGGAACACTGGAACAAATTAATTGAAAATATTGGAAAAACTATTACCAACAAAAAATACATCGATTGGGAAAACATGAAAAAGAGCAAAAGCAGTTGGTATAACCGGTGGATGGACTTCTTTCTACAAGAATGCTTAAATTCCAAAGTTAGAATGCAGAGATTGGAGTACTACTAAGCGGGGTTCACAAAATCGGCCCACAAGCGAGGTCCAGAAGCGGCGTCCACAAAATCGGCCCACAAGCGAGGTCCAGAAGCGGCGTCCACAAAAGCGGCCCACAAGCG